AAGCCCAGTTCCCTCAGCCTCTCCTTGTAAGTCATGTGCCCCAGCTCCCTGATCATTTTCATTGCCCTCCATTGGACTCTCTCCAATTTGTCCACAATCATTTACATTATGTGTTTATCTCTGTATTGTTTTTGTCTATTTAAACAAAGGCTATCCCCTGTCCTACTAACAATTTACATTAATATAGTGCTTTTTATCCCAAAATATATCAAAATGCTTTACAAACTTAAAGTAATATGCAGAGCAATCACTTCACCACCAGTGAAATGCAGCCATCTCTAAAGTGACACCCAGTTTCTGATTAGGACAGCACATCAACATTACGCAGTAGATGAGCCATGAAGGGAAGATGAGAATGAGAACCACTGGTGCACAATATTATGTTCCATAAAGCCCTTCTATGGACCCTGCAGAGCTGTTTCTGTTACAGTAGTAGATCATCTGATAGTCTTCAAACAATGATACTTCTTGCTTGGTGGTAGCCAAGGCACCTTTTAGGGTTTACAGAGACATTTTTGGTCAATTAAAAATAAAAGCCCTTTCTGCACCCTCAGTAGCTGCTTCCTATCTTTCAACTGTAATCAAATTTCTTTGCAGGTAACACTAAAATTGGAAGGTGTAGCATGGAAAGAGAAAGAACCTTAGCTATAAAGTGGGCAGGAGGAAGAAGGGAAATGTTATTAAGCGACTCACCTTAGTGTACTGGATACAGTATTTTCATCTTCTTAAAACAGATGTAAAATACTTTTTCGTGTAATTAAGCACCAGTTTTGTCTCAGAATAGAGAGGGGAATGTCTATGAAAGGTTCACAATCTTAAGAAGTGATCTCCAACGTGAAAAGGAACCACGGATATCCAACTGAAATGGCAGGCAAATTCAGTTCAGCAGCATATAATTACAGACTTAGAATTGGCCAAGGATTAGCAAAAAGTTCCATATGCTCTTTAATGCTCACAGCAGTTACATCATTGTTTTAGGTCTTAGTTGTAAGACAACATCTGCAGCACAGTGCCTTCTAACAGCATGCAGATATTTTCAGTACTCACCTAGAGGTAAGAGGTACTCCTATTCACTCTCCAAGATCATTTCTTGCAACTCCCATCCAACTACTGAGAAGAACCAACTCTCATAAGACCTGACAAGATTCCAATGCACACACCACAATGGAATGTTATTAAGGACAGAAACTGACTACCTCTATCAGCCAGTTAGAATTTTCCTGACATTCTGAGCAGCTGTGTAAATGGATGCGCAAACTAAAGACCTAATCCTGCACCATTAAAGTCAATGGAGCAGATTTAGGCTCTAAGGTAGTTGGTTAGTGAGAAGGAAATCAAGCATGGTCTAGCTCTGTGAGTAATTTACTTTCTGAATAGGAAATAAAAAAATAGTTATTTCATAATTCAATACCAGATTTTGTTTTCAGAAAAGCTACCCTGCACAGAGAATTGTTCATATAGGTCCTGATCCCAAGCTCACTGAAATAATGGGAATCTTTCCCTGGATTTCAATGTAAGGTTTGACCTTTGGTTTATTTTCAGGTATATGTTACTTAGCTTTGTGTTTAATTCGGTAAAGTGTGTGCTTTAGATTTGAAAAACACACACATTATGCAATAAACAAACATGACTGGTAATTTTGCTACAAAGAAAAATCAGCGTAAGGATTCATGAAAATCACAAGTCAAAAAAACTGGTTTGCTAAAGGTGATCTTCATACAAAAACTTTAATCAAATTCTTTAATAAAAACCATTTTGTTAAAAATCAGCATTGTTATGATTGGAATTTTTATACAGAAGATGAATCAGAAGTTACAAAAGTAACTGACATTACATAATAAATATAACTGGAATTAATACATACAAGAACAGTACTACAGCATCTCTTTATAAACATTAAAAATGATTATCTCTATGGCATATTAATTTAACATCTCAATTATAAAATCCTCTTTGCTTTGTGTTAGACGAACACATACTAATTATTTATTCTTGCACTAAAAATGTTAAAATCTGCTTTTTCATGGTATGAGGGTCCAGGCATCTGAGCATGGCCCTCTCCATCAGCCCTCTGAGCATGCCACAAGAAGCTGGCAGATGTGCTCATCATCCATCATGGACCTTTTGTAAGTGTTTGGTTGGAGACATTCATGAAGAAACGTTCTCTCCAAAATTATGTATGGCAGCAGGAAATGAAGATTATAAATCAACAGCCCTATGTATGCACAGCTGGGGATAACAGGTCAGATTCTGGCCCAGGTTACAGTCCTTTGTGTTGCTGCAGTATTGAAAAAGTTATTCTGAATGGGCAGGTCAGAGTTCCACTGGCATGAAGAATGCTAGCCTGGTGCTGAGACAGCATAGCTGACTCTCCGATACACCCTCCTGGCTCCCCTTGGGAAGGGCGCGTACCAGGAGCATGATTGAGGGAGACAGGATGACCAGAGCACACTGTGCTCCTGTGATCCCGGGGCAGCGCAGCAGTCCCTTGGGGCTCTTACAAAACTAGCTAAATTTAGAGTAGCTCTGCAGCCAGACTAGTCCCTGGCTGCCAAGAGGATGAGGGAAGCATAAAGGTGGCTTAAAGCCACCTTTGTCTCCCTCTCTCCTCAGCTATGGTGAGCACAAGTCTGACACAATTAGAGATCTATTCTAGCCTGATATATCTGGGACCAAACAACTTCTTGCATGACAAGAAATTCTGTTAAGATGTGAAAAAAGCTGCTGATCCTGAGATAATTGTTTTCTATGTAGGGTCTTCTGTGACTCACTATAGCACAAGTGCCTTTTACATTCTCTTTTCACCTATTCCTTTATTCTAAGTGACGGCCTGTCGTTCCCTGCTTACTACATGTTCCTTTTCATAAAGATGAAATTACATGTGCCTTCCCCTAACATCACAAGGAGGCACTCTGAATGTATCACTGACAGCAGATGTCAATAGCCAAAGGGAGGTACTCCACATCAAGGGTAACACATTACTAGCTGCCTTCAGATAAAACACCATATTCCACACCATTTTCCTAAGTCAGCTGGCTGATGTGGGAGTCCAGTGGTTGCTCCCGAATGCAGGCTCTCTCACATAACAGCACATTGCACCATTAGCCAACTCCTGTGCTTATATTTCTATGCATTTTACATTAAATAATAAAGCTCCCTGTGAACAGTACAGTACTATGCTTTATGCATCAAACTACAGAGTCCATTACTAGAGTTGAAAAAAACTTAAGAAAAAACACAAAGCCAAGTATACAAACTCACAAGATGACTCATTAGCAGTTCTGAACATTTATAATTTTCAAGAAATTATTTCCGTCCAATTATAATTTTTTTTTTACATGGAAACTAGATCAACTGGCCTAGAAGATCAAACAAGTATATACTGTACTAGTACATACAACACAGGGCTAAATCACATTGTAAACCCAACTGGAATTATTTAATTAGGAAGGAGAGAGGGAGAGGAAATGGGCTAACTAACTGAGAACTTCTATGGGTTTCTCCAGCATCAGTTCTTTAATAGGCAGTAGGCAACATGTGTCTGTGAAGGGAGAACAAGCAACAACTCCAAATTATAAGAATCTTCTATATTTAAGGCATTCTGGATCTCATTTATAGCACATTTGTCCCAATATGTCAGAGCACCTTCTCAGATACTGCAATCACTCAACCTCAAATTCTATAAATCCATGCTATCAGTTTCAATAACTTTCTGCCGTCTCACACAAATATTTGGGTAGGTTATATTTAACAATGCGCACTATTCTCACCTCAATTTTTAAAAAAATGTTTGTATGATTTGGAGATAGTCAGATTTTGCAATATTTCTGGAAATTATTTTAAAATATACTGATTAACTTCCTCCTAACTCATCATTTAAATTCTCAGCAGTTCATATGTTTTATTTTCAGTGGAGAATCCAAACCCACTTCAATTAAGAGAGGTGTGACTATGGCATAGGTTTTCCCAGAACAGTATTTAAATGTGCCATGCAGGGCCGGCTCCAGGCACCAGCTTGCCAAGCAGGTGCTTGGGGCGGCCACTTTGGAGAGGGGCAGCAGGTCCAACTATTGGGTGGCAATTCGGCGGACAGTCCCTCACTCCCGCTCGGAGCGAAGGACCTCCCGCCGAATTGTCGCCGCAGATCGTGATTGTGGCTTTTTTTTTTTTTTGCGCGCTGCTTGGGGCGACAAAACCCCTGGAGCCGGCCCTGGTGCCATGCAAAGATAGCTTATAACAAAAAGGTTGATGGGGCCAGAACTCATGGCCTTCCAAACTGTAGGCTGAATTATCCTTCCTCCCCTCATTATCTCTATTATCTTTAATCCAATTGGGAAAAGCAAAAAAACAACCAAAACCCAGCAGCTATATCTAGGATCTGCATTAACTGCATTGAATCTGCTTTGAAGTGTTTGAACAGTCCAGTGGAATAATGACATTGCACAGCCTGGAGGAGACAGGGGTGTGGAAAGTATCATGGGACCTTTTCCACTGCCACAAGCAGAGGCTAGTGAGAAAAATGACGCAGGTCATGTTTGGCTCTAGAAAAGCAGGTATAAGTGTTCCCCAACTACTTTCCCTCCCATCCAAATCCACGGAAGAGTATTAGTGGTAGCCTTTTGGAATACCACCAATTTGCCCTGGCAGTTGCACAGATTTGATAGTGGCAAATGCACATACAAAGAGTAGACTGGAAAATGAGTAGAGTAGAAATAGTATCATCTCCTGAATAAAGAAGTGAGCATATATCCAAACTCAGTTGCATTATATGGGAATCTGTTCAGGAAATTCCCTCAAGATTATTGGCTGCAACTCTTTATCTTCATGGACTGTATTAGGAAAGATACATTAAAAAAATATAACTGCACAAGGAGCCAGACTGGTTAGAGTAGGCCAGACCGATCTATCTGAATGTGCAGTGTATATTTCCTCAATACATATATTTATCTATTGAAATCATCCCTTCATAGGGCTTTTTAATATCAGAAACTTTACAAATCTGTATATAATAAATACTGTATTAAAATATTTGGATAGCATTTTCACACACAAGTTATATGAAAGGTGGTCATCACAGGATTACTTCTTCAATTTCATCTTCGAAAGAATCAACAGCCTTAACTGCTGGCCTGCTTGTTGTGTGCTGTAAACGGTGCCTATTTGGGTTAAAATTTCTTCCTTCACTGGAAAAAAAATCATCATCTTTAACTTTAACTTTATCTTTATTGCTTTTGCCCAGAGGAAGAGCACTGCCGGAATCATAGTCAGCTTCCAAAGGACTTGAGTCACTGCTTTTAGGTGGAGCGATGGTGTTGGCACTAGTTCCAAAAAGTTGCTCCATTAAATTAGACTTTTTCTCTTTCTTAGTATTGAAATCTGTATTTTCTTTAGTATTTTCTTCTAAGACAATACTTTTTTGATTAAGCCAACTTGGCCTCCCGGATCCTTTCCCAAAGGAAGGTACGTAACTACCAAATGTCAAATCATTACTTGAATCTGTGGTTCTAACATTTTGCCGCTTCTGTCCTTCTGCTTTTGTAGTAACATCATGGCTGTCATATACTGGAAATCCATTAAACAATTTTTCTGTGGTCTCTAAGAACTGGTAGGTTTTCTCATTTTTCTCTAGGGAGTCAGATTTTGATGCTGTATCTGTGAGGTGTGCTTGCGAAGCAAGTTTCATACTAATAGTGTTTTGAGTTTCTCTGTCAATTTTATACATTTTAGCCAGCAGCAACTCTTTTTTTTGTCGGTCTTCTAGTTTTTCAGTGTTGTGTGTCTCATTTTCAATTTTATATATTTCTGACTCAATTCTTGCCTCTTCTTCTTTAGCCAATAAAAAGTTATTTTCTTTTTTCCTTCTGTCAAATTCTTCTTTTTTCCACTCTGCATGGAATTTTTTTAAAAGTTATTTGACATTTTCTAATATTTAAAGGAATTTTTTTTTAAGTCATATACAAAAACAGAAATTCTTGCAACCAGCACTGGTTTATTTTTTAAAGAAGTCATTTTTCATAAACATAGTTACAATTAGACACAGGCTAAATCTGCTATCCTAACTTAAAACAACCAATTTTGTAGTGTAGTTGCATTATTCATCTCTTTTAGTAGTTTCATATTCTACTGATTTTATCCTTGCCCTGTGTTTGAACAGAGATGAATCACTGATTTTAATAACTCTGATTGACAGTGTGTTTTATATTTCTCTGTCAACATCACTGACTTCAAGACAACTTTGGAATACACTTGTTTTATGAAGTGCTACTGCAAAGCCAACTGGATAACAAAATACAAAATGAGTAATAATTTTCAATGGTTTGTTTTTAAGTTTTCCTACAGTAGGGAGCAATTTAAAATATTACCTCTTCCTCACTTGTGTGTCTGCAGGCAATAGAATCATAGAATCATAGAATATCAGGGTTGGAAGGGACCTCAAGAGGTCATCTAGTCCAACCCCCTGCTCAAAGCAGGACCAATTCAATAGTGTGTGTTGAAAACACCTCTGCACAAGCCTTCTGTGCACCATCAAGTGAACATAAATGATTATTTGCAAAAACAGCACACACCACTTTTCACAGGTATAAATGGCTACATGAGGTGTAAGGAGGTGAAAATCAGGTCCTTCCACATATGAACTGCATATACAATGGATTCAAGAGTTTGTGGCCAAGTGATTGTACACACAAAGTTGCATGCACACACAAAAAGGCGATTTTCTGAATATTTACCCATTCAAAAAATAATTTTCCTGTCTGAATATAAAGTTATAAGGTAGGTTCAGATTTGAACAAGAACAACCTGATACATGTGTACAGAATGGATCCCCCCCAATCAGGAATCCTCTCTGAAGAGCTGGGATATGGACCTAGGTGGTGACAGCACTGACAACAATTTGTACTTGTAGTGTACTTTATACCAAGCTTATGAAAACAAACTGCAACAGTTCATATTTTTCATCTATATATGGCATAGCATCTCCACTATGAAGGAGAAGTAGGCAGCTGAATTTCAGTGAGGAATGCTAGGGAAAAAAAATCTAATTTTTACAGTAAGGTGGACGAGAGTGCTAATATTAGGACTATTTTACCCCAAGACACCAGAGGGCAGATTCTCAGTCGGTGCAAACTGTCCATTGACTTTTTTCATGGATATTTTTTTCAGCTGTGGTTCTCCACAGTTGGTATTTGGCTTTGAAGCCTTGTCTTGGGGCAGTAACAGCAAGGCACAGGAAGGAGGTTACTTTGTATCCCTTAATATTTTCTGTTTTGACCTTGTTCATGTTAAATCATTTATTCTTTTTAGTGGTTTTCCTTTTCCAGAATCAATTTGTTGTTTTCAAGAGAAGTGTTATAGGCCTCATTTGATTGGTATTTTGTTTTGTCTAGATTTTCCAGCTTGGCAGTAGCCACAGTTTTCTTACCGTCACATAGTTTCTGGGCTCTCTCCTCTAAAGCCTGCAGTTCTTGGTCATGTTTCATTTTCTCCTCTCTCTCCCTGTTCCGTTCTTGACTTAGATGCTCTGCTTGTTCTTTCCATTCTTTTTTCTGAGTTTCCTGTTCCTGATGTAAATTGATAAAAGAAAGTGTGATAGAAAATTTTTGCAACAGCTTTTTTGTTTATTGTTAAACACAAAGTCTTCTGAATCAGAATGATGTTAAGGACTTCAATGAAGCCACTCCAGTTTACCTCAGCTGGGGAAATGGCCCTAAAACATTTATCAGACCTAACACGGTCTTAGGTACTTGCAAATCATCAACTTGATTTTGTATCAGAGGGTCTTGTGGCACCTTTAAGACTAACAGAAGTACTGGGAGCATAAGCTTTCGTGGGTAAGAACCTCACTTCTTCAGATGCAAGCACTTCTTGCATCTGAAGAAGTGAGGTTCTTACCCACGAAAGCTTATGCTCCCAGTACTTCTGTTAGTCTTAAAGGTGCCACAGGACCTTCTGTTGCTTTTTACAGATTCAGACTAACACGGCTACCCCTCTGATACTTGATTTTGTATGGCATCTTTAATAGAAACTGCATCCTGTAATGCTTCATACTAAAATGTATTTGTTCTGTGTTTGTATAGTGCCTAGCACAATGAAGTCCTGGTCCATTGTCCGGGAACGGCGAACCCCGGACACTGGGAGCTGCGGGGGCAGTGCCTACAGACGGTCAACGTAAACAAAACGTATCGCGGCCTGCCAGCGGATTATCCTGATGGGCCGCGTGCCGAAGGTTGCCAACCCCTGGCCAAGGCAGATCACCCAAATCTACTACATTTTAAAGGACTCATGCACCAAAGATTTTAGATAACGGAGAAGAAGATTTTAGAACTGAAGACCTAGGAATCAAACTGCAAATCCTGAAAAAGCTTCAGCTGTTATAGAAAACAGCAACACAGGCCTCCCAAGAGCACCACCCTAATGCTCTACCTGCTGAACTGATTCCCAGTTGTACAGAGAGACATATTCAAGATTTCAGTCCTGGTAATCAAAACTCCTCCTTGAAATTGATCCAAGCAACTTTAGGGAACCACTTCTCTTTCTGACATCATGACTTCCTAAATCATTACTTTCTTCTGAACTAACAGAATGGTCAACCATAAGGATAAAAACCTGTGAATGAGGAAACAAGGCTTTCCAAATATGGAATTTCCTTTGGGCAGAGATCAGAATGACCATGAATCTCAATGCTTCCTAAGCTAAAAGTTACACTTTTTTAAAAGCTTAGTTTCCCACAATTAGAAAGAAAATATTACCAATGTAGGGAGGGAAACAAACAGGAGATCCTTGTGGATATTTCACTTTTAAGAAAAGTCCAATGTATTCCATGATTCTACAGCTATTGAATTTACTGCAGACTTGGTAGTCTCTACCTTACTTAACGTACACCTTCTTGCAGCTCCTCTGTGCATAAGTTACAATTCTCATACCCTTTAAACATTTGTACAGTGAGTGCAAGTAGATCTAAGGAGGTGAACTAATCTCACCTTACACTTCACTTGAATTTTGGTCTTATGGCTCAAAAGTATTAAAAATCAGTGAGATACTATTTTATAATGAAGATGTTAACAGCAAAAAAAAAACATTGGGATAAAGGTAACAGAAATATTTCACGCTTTACATAGGGGAGCAGGATTTGGACACTAGTGCAATGGGTCGAAGCACTAAAATCCATGATTGTGGAAGAAGGCTGGAAGTTTTTGCGACCAGGGGCTGCTAACAGGGAGTTTCGCAAGGGAGTTGTCCAGGTGAAGGAGGAGCAATACAGCACCCTTGGGGTAAGTGACTGTCTGTAGTGTGTGTTTGTTTGTGTTTGGGGGTTATTTGCTGTGTGCTGAGCTTGTGTTTGTCCGTCTGTTTGTTTGTTTGAAGGACCGTGTGCTGTGGCTGGCAGTTGGAAGCTGTGAGCTTCAAAGGAAGGTCTGAAAGCTAGAAGCCTCTGGTAATTGGCTCAGCCTTCATCAGTGGGCGGGGCATTCATACAGGCCAGGCCAGGGCTTTATAAAGCAGCGCACAAGTGACCAGGGAGCTTTTGCGAACAGGGGCTGCTAACAGGGAGTTTCTCAAGTGAGTTTGGGAAGAGGGTGAGGGTCCCTTGCCGGTTCTATCTGTTTTCCCTTTATTCCCCTTAAAACCTATAAACCAACTATATTCAAAACTTCTTGCTTAAACAACCCTTTCAGCGGACAGAGGGCTGCAGACAGGGGAGTTTGAGAGGGAGTTTGACAGAGGGAGGCTTACGATGGTTAGGAAGACCCGCAATACCTGTGCCAGCACTGCTTCTGTCTCCTCCACCTGCGCCTGTAGCCAGACAGAGCGCTTGAGCATGGATGCTTCTACCCAGATCCTGGTGTGGTTTTGCAGAGACTGTAACTTGCAATTTCCACTTACTGATATTCAGGCTGGGGGGACCATCCAATGTGAAAGGTGCGTGCTGGTGGAATCTCTGAGGCAGCAGGTGGGAGAGCTACAGGAGGAGGTGGCTAGGTTGAGGAGCATCCGAATCCACAAGCAATTCCTGGACAGTGTCCATGTGGAGACAGCTGAGGTAGCTGTCCCAGTACACAGGACTGCTGATACACCACTAGTGGAGGAGGAGATGGCTCAGGGTGGACACTGGCAGCTGGTTACTTCTGGCAGCAGGCAGTGCTCCACCCCTGCTCCAAACCCTCCCGCCATGGTAATAGGTAACCATTATGCTCTTCTTGATACAGGAGAGAAGGAATCGCCCCCTACAGTAAAGGAGAAGCTTCGTACCCCTAAGGCTGGGAGGTCTGCTGCCACCACTGCGAATAGGAAACGTAGGGTAGTGGTGGTCGGAGACTCTCTGCTGAGGGGGACGGAGGCGCCCATCTGTCGCCTTGACATTTTATCTCGGGAGGTATGCTGCCTGCCAGGGGCCCATATCCGAAATGTTAGAGGCATTGTCGAGGATTAGCCAGCCCTCTGACTACTACCCCATGCTACTCATCCATGTGGGCACAAATGATACTGCGAGGTGTGACACTGAGCGGATCAAGAGTGACTACAGGGCTCTGGGAGTACGGGTGAAGGAGTTTGGAGCGCAGGTGGTATTCTCTTCGATTCTTCCTGTCAAAGGTAGGGGCCCGGGCAGAGACAGATGCATCGTGGAGGTGAATGCCGGGCTGCGAAGATGGTGTCGCCAGGAGGGCTTTGGCTTCCTTGACCATGGGATGCTATTCGAGGAAGGACTGCTAGGCAGAGATGGCTTTCACCTTTCGAGGAGGGGAAAGACCCTATTTGGACACAGACTGGCTAACCTAGTGAGGAGGTCTTTAAACTAGGTTCGATGGGGACAGGTGGGCAAAGCCCACAGGTAAGTGGGGAACATGGAGACCTGGGAGATGGGTCGGAAACAAGAGGAAGTGTGGGCTATAATGGCAGAGAGAAAGGAGGGTCAGGACAAAACTGGGAGGCAAGATCGAACCAGTATCTTAGATGCCTATATACAAATGCGAGAAGTATGGGTAATAAGCAGGAAGAACTGGAAGTGCTAATACAACCATGACATCGTTGGCATCACTGAAACTTGGTGGGATAATACACGTGATTGGAATGTTGGTGTGGATGGGCCCAGCTTGCTCAGGAAGGATAGACAGAGGAAAAAAGGAGGAGGTGTTGCCTTATATATTAAAAATGTACACACTTGGACTGAGGTGGAGATGGACATAGAAGACGGAAGTGTTGAGAGTCTCTGGGTTAGGCTAAAAGGGGTAAAAAACAAGGGTGATGTCATGCTAGGAGTCTACTACAGGCCACCTAACCAGGTGGAAGAGGTGGATGAGGCTTTTTTTTTAAACAACTAACAAAATCATCCAAAGCCCAAGATTTGGTAGTGATGGGGGACTACAACTATCTAAATATAGGTTGGGAAAATAAAATAGCGGGGCACAGACTATCCAACAAATTCTTGGACTGCATTGCAGACAACTTTTTATTTCAGAAGGTTGAAAAAGCTACTGGGGGGAAGCTGTTCTAGACTTGATTTTAACAAATAGGGAGGAACTCATTGAGAATTTGAAAGCAGAAGGCAGCTTGGGTGAAAGTGATCATGAAATCAGAGTTTGCAATTCTAAGGAAGGCTAGAAGGGAGAACA